GGGGGGGGGGGGGGGGGGGGGATAGGGGAGTTGTTAAATAGCAAATGTTATGTACAGTAGCCTGACCCATGCCTATAGCGTTATAAATTAAAGGGTTGGGTTGGTAAAAAATGTCATAGTCATACTTTTTGTGTAGTAGTTGCATAAAATAAAAATATAATATGTGCACGGCACTTATTAATTTGTAGCGCCTATATAAGTTATAAGCTATATTTAATATCAAGTAGTCAAGTAGCAAGCTCTATTCTATTTTTGTACTTCAATATTATGATAGGTCGTCGGCCTATGCCTATTGATACTACTTATTGGCATTATTTATTATTGCAATATTATTATTGAATTTGCAATATTCGCCAAGGCCTAGTTCCTGAATCCTAGTTAGTTAGTTAAGTTAGTACTATTATAAACTTAAAATATAAGCCTATCTTTAGAGAAGTAGTGTTTAAACTCGTCTTTAAAAGGAAGTATTTTTAAAATGTTTAAAAAAATTAATTATAAAAGGAAACATGAATCTTTATGGTGAATTTAAGATGATAAACATTCTACACTGGCAGCGACAAACTGATGGCGCCGCAGTCGTTGCCATAGGTGACGTCAAGCGTGACAAGTTCCTGTTAGAATTCAACGTTGTTTATATCGTTGAGTAATGTTCTTCTAGTCTATCATATTCCGAGGATTGCTGCGAGTGTCTACTTGAATGGCGCCACGAAGATGTTTTTTCAAAATAAGGTAAGATTACTGTTAATCCTTTAAAAGCATCTGACGCCCCATGGACTTTCGGGTTTCTTTCAAAATTGAAAAATATCAAATTCTGAAATTCATTTTATTCATGATCAAAAATAAAAAGATATAAAAATAGGCTTTAATTAGAATAAGTATTGTATTACTATTATTACTTTATTATTAATTAGATAGCTTGACTTAATAACTTAATAAAATTATATACTAATACTAAACTTAATATAATAGCCTAATTATATAGACTTAGCCTAATTATTAATAATGTCATTGCTCAGAATTAAAATAGTAGGTAAAATTATATAGGCCCTGCCTTGTCACAGTACAGTAAGTTACACAAACAAAACCAGGGTCTGGTGAGTTTAAAAAAGCATTATTATTAGTATACTACACTCAGACTAGGCATAGTATAGGCTAGCCAAAGCCAGACCCATACATAGGGCCTTAAACTGTATAAAAGGCAGGCAATTAAAATTTTTTATATTAAAAAAATAAAATTCAACTGTTATAATTTTGAGTCATAATGCAATAACAGATTTGTATTTATACAGTTTGGGAACATGGTCATTATTGATTTAGCACTTTAGTAAGTGTAGGCTATTTATTTTATATGATTCATTCATACAGACTAGAGCCCTCTTGGGGGACCTGCAACGCCTTCGGCTGTGGGGGGGCTTAGGATATTTTAGAAGTCAAAAGTTGCGATGCCTAAGAAAACTTTAAAGGATCAACTGCGAATGCACGGGGTACAAAACCGAAATGTCACACAACGATACTGCATACATGTGTCATGACAACATAATCATATTATACTATAATTATTTGCAGGGAAGTATTGTCAAGTGTGGTAAGACCCAGAAACTGAGAAAATCATTAGCATTTTTTCTTGTGGGGTGTGCGGGAAATATGTTTTCAAATCTAGATGGGGGTGCAGGAAATGTTTTTGAAATTAAGAGGCTCTGCAAAAATCCTGAGAACCCTGGAATATATAGGGCATAGACGATATGCAATCAATATTAATAAGCATATCATTATATGGTCATATAAAGCAGGGCACACAGGATGAGTAATCCATGTAAATCAGTAGATTATTTTATGGTCATAGAAATTGGTATAGAGCAGGGGTGGCGACCTTCTTTAGCCATTACCGCTAAATATATTCGTTTAAGCCATCGTTACCAGAAATTTGGAAGGAAGAAAAATCATAGACTAAATTCAAAATGACTTATTTAAACTATTTATACAAGGAGAAACATTATAAATATGAAAATGTAAAAAAAATAAATGCAATAAATTTAATAAAGAAGATCCCTAATGTGGATCAAAAGGATTTTTTTGGAAAAAATTTTCGCTATACATTTTTGGAGGTGTAATGTAAACAATAACATCAATTGGAAGAGCTATTTGGATACCTTTTTGGGGTTCAATAATTGATTTCTCTGCTTTGTTTACAAGTTTCTTATTGTGGGAAATCGTTGTACCTAATGAAAGGTTGTTTCAAAAGGCAGCAACTATTGACAGCTTCCTGATGTACAGTTTTGAAAGCCTATGCAGAGCCACTGGTAACCACAATATGTTGGGTGCATTTTGAGCATAAGCAGTAGCTCATTAGAGTTAAGCGAAGAGTTTGGACCACGCCGGTGTCCTCAGATGAGACCCTTAAAGCGGAGTGGGGTTTGGTCACCTAATGGCAAATAGTAAATATGAAAGAACTCTATCAAGTTTTTTTTTGGTAACAGACCCACGTTTAAAACAAGAGCAGGGTGCCCCGTTAAATACAAGAGCAGCATGCCACTCAGAGAAGGTAATGGGGGGGGGGGGGGTTAATGGGGGGG